CTGCCCGCGGTCGGTGCTTGATGGTTCCCTGTGCTCAGAGTAGGGGGGTGTCTCACGGGGCCCTATCCTTCCCGGTGTCTTGGCTGCAGAGTAACACAGTCTATCTTAAACTTACCAAAGTGGTTGGATTTCATAGTATGGGGCTCTTTTAGTGCTGCTTTCCTGTCTGAGCTGGGTGTGATTAGGCCAGAACCCCGCCTCTCTCCCTTTTTAAAATAACCTTTTTATTGCCCTGCCTGGAATAATAGAAGGGAGAGGGAGAAGCGTAACAGTTCTCACATACACAGTTGTTTCTGCTGATGCTTCGCTCTTTTAGGTGGAATTACTTTTTCCTTTACGATGGTTCGAAGGTCAAGGAAGAAGGAGATCCTACGAGTGCCGGGATCTGTTATTTTTACCCTCCTCAGGTAACATCTGCTTTTATTTCGGTGCCTGTGAAGGAGGGCCTGTGTGCTGGGTCAGTGCTGGGAATTCTTATGGGGCTTCCAGGTGGCGCTCTGGATTAGTTCTTGTTTAGCGTTCACTAAAGCTGTAAGAGACCTCAGGCAGCTGGGCCCGGTGGGGTGGTGCCCTGCGCCCTCGCTGCGGCCTCTGCTCGGTGGAGTCGACCAGCAGAGTCCGGGTCTGTTCTGGTGATGTGGATAAATACACACAAGGGCTGAAAGTGCCCCTGAAGAAGCTCCAGGCCCTTGTGCTGCTGGAAACAAGCAGTCCGATTATTTTTTCCCCAGAAACTTGCCTGTGCTACTGCATTAGATGTATAATTGAATTGAACTTCTAATTAATTTTTATTTACACCTGAAAACAGTAGTGATTTTTTTTTTTTCCCCGAGTTCTTTTAAAAGGAAAAAACCCAAGTCTTTCTTCCCTGCCTTCCTCGACAGACTCTCCCCGACCAGCAGGAGCTGCTGTGCGGACAGATCGCCGGGGTGGTGCACTGCATGAGCGAGATTTCTGGGGTCCCTCCCAGTCTCATTCGCCTGAGGAAGCTCAAGTTTGCCGTTGTGGTGGACGGAGACCACCTGTGGGTGAGTGGGAGAGATCTGCAGGCAGCCCCAGAGGAAGAACAGTGAGAGAGTCTGAACTCCTGTATCACACAGCGAGGGCTTTTTTGTTTTCCGGGGTAGGGGCTGCTCTCCGCTGGCCCTGGGCAGAGGCAGGGCGGGGATGACAAGGCACAGCTTTTCGCTGCCGGGTGGCTCGCGTGCCCTTCAGCTGCTCTGTGAAAAGCTTCACGAACCTCACCTGCGTGTCCCCACCCAGCATGTTCTCTTAGATGCGCCTGGCAACAGCTGTAAAATGCCGAGCTCCCCTCGTTGTGTGTGCCCGTGGGTCACTGGCCATGGCTGGAAACGGGACTTCCAGTGGTGTGGTTTATAATAAGGACTCGGTCTCCCTCTCTGACAGTCTGACCCTTCTTTCCTCCGGTGTTCCCTGCTGCGGAGCTTTGCCAGCGCCCACAGACATTTAGTCTGTAAAAAGCAGCGTGTGGCAGAGTTGTGACAAAAATGCCCCGAACCATCCCCAGAAACTGGGCTGAGACTGGTCAGGCCTGTGTCACTGGCAGGGCTCTGCAGGCTCCCCGGGCTCTCTTGGAGGCAGAAGGCCTGGTGCTTCTGTTCCTCTTGGCAACTCAGAAACTAAATGAAGCATCTTCATCGCTGTAAATAACAAGATAATTTGAATGTTTTAAAGTACTTGGTTTCAGGAACATATTCTTAGCTGTTAGAGCACCGAGCTAGGTCACCTAACGTGGGAAGGGAGCGTGTCTGAAACGCTGGGTTTCTGGTATCATTTATTTATCCTGCCTGTGCCAGGGCCCTGCCGTGGGTATTTTTGAATTTCCTTTTCATCTGACTTGCGGATCCGGGGGACGTTTGCCTGCCGCAGAGCTGCTTGTGTGGCTCTGATATGCCTTTGGAAGCTGTGAGAGCTGTTCTCACCTGCTGTGCCTGGGTTCCGTCAGTAAACATCCTTCATTCCTGGCTTTTCCTGCGCAAGGTCCTGGGCTGTGCCGTGGAGCTCCCTGACATCAGCTGCAGGCGGTTTCTGGAGCAGCTGATCAGCCTCTTCTCCTTCTACAACGGACCCGTGCACCGCGCGTACACGGTAACTAGAGACCAGCGCCCGTGGGGGTTGGGCCTGGGCAGAGATCTCAAACCCTGCCCGTGTTGGCCGCGCTCTGCCCCGGCACGCGCGTGCTGGTGTGTTCCCTTTCCTGCTGGCGAGAGTCAGAGCGAGCTCCCGTACCAAAGGATGGGGACCTGAAGGGTGTCCTGTCCTCCTGTTGCACCGACGTAGCGTGGGTGTCTACTGGAAGTTTCCTGGGTGTTCAGTCAAAAGCAGCTTCCTCTCGATATCCCCTTCCTCCTTACCCTCACGAGGTTTGTCACTTGCAGGTCCTGTCCCAGACCGGTCCCACCTAACACCCTGACTGCCCTAAGGCCTGTGCGGTGACAGCCCTGGGGGGTTTTGTTGTCTGCAGGCATTTTCTAAGGAGGAGCTGAGCAGGAGGTGGGACAGGTACATCGAACATATCCAAAAAAACACCAGTGACCTCCACAAGATTTTCAATTCTCTCTGGAACCTGGACAAAACCAAGGTAAGAGCCTGTCCTCTGCAGTGTCTGGCTCTGGAGCTGCCTTAGTCCCAGAGGTTTTGCGTTTGTTTGCTGCTTTGAGCATTTCCCGGGATCCTCTGGCCTAACTTCTTGTGGTTCTCCCTCTCTAGGTGGACCCCCTGCTTTTGCTGAAAGCAGCTCTCATCTTGCAGACTTGCCAGCGGTCTCCCCACGTCTTGGCCGGCTGCATTCTCTACAAAGGCTTGTAAGTCACCGAGTGTCGCCTGAAGGGTTAATCTGCCCCTTCCTGGGGCTGTGATCCGGGGAGCAGAGCAAGGGCCCTGCACGCAGGGCTGCTGGTGGCTCCTGGCAGGAGCATGATTGCTTCAGGCAGGGTAATCTGTGTCTGCTGGTGTGTTCCACAGAGGGGAAGTGTGGGATAGTTGTTTGTGTTTATCGGCAGGAAGCAGGAAGTGTAAGGTTTGGGGTTTAGTAGCAATCTGCTCTCTGATACTTACCAACGACTGAACTTCTTAGGCTTTTTAGGTGGAAGGCACCAAGAAAAAGGAAGAGATGTGAATATTATTCTTTCCCATTCGTTTTCTCTGTGCAGTCTTGCAAACACAGTGCAGGGGGGTCTGTGGGTGTGTAGTTCTGAGCGACTCGCTGGCCGGGAGCGCTGCCTGGGCTGGTGGCAGGTGCGCAGGAGGAGGAGGAGGAGGCAGGACGTCCCGTGAGAAGCGTGGGCTGCTTTGAACCCGCTGGAGGTGCTGCAGATGTGGCGCTGACTGACACCAAGGAAAGCCTCAGAGGTGGCCTTGCAGGACAGGAGGTGGGGGATTCCGGCAACTTCCTGGCCACAGCATTCAAGCGCCGTTTCTCTTTCGCATAAACTGTTCCCGTAACACCTTCCGTGAGCACTGGGAACACCCCACAGTGTGTGTGTCTTTCTGGGTCTGTCAGAGGCCGCTTTGAGGGGCTGATCTCGTGCTCGCAAGCAGGACACTGAGCAGGAGTCCCTGCAGCACCTTGAGGCTGGCGGCGTGTTGCAGCGGGTGCCTGACTGGAGAGCGGAGCTCTGGACCCCGGCCCTGCGGGGTGGGTCTCACTGGTCTGTCTGATAGAGACTGGTTTTTCACCAAATGTCATTGGAGTTCTCTGAACTCTGAGTCCTACAAAGGGCTTTGTGGACGAGTTAAACTTCTCCTTCTCTTTTGGAGAATCTCCAGAGCATGGATCTCGACAAGGAGAACCCCTCTGGAAGCCCCGTCCAAGGGGCCTGTGCTGCAGTGCTTCGAGTGCCGCTGCCCACAGCTCTTCAGGGGGTGGCAGGAGGCCTGTGGGGATTGGGCTGCCTGAGGTCTTGACTCGGTAAAACTAGATTTGTTGGCCCAAAGTAAACGCCAGCAGGTGATTTTCCTCAGTTTAAAGTGGAACTGACCCAGAGGAAAGAGGAAAACGAGAGTCCCAACGGTCACCCAGCTCGTGTTCCTCTTGTGGGGCCATGTCTTGGCTCCAGCCCGTGTCTGGGGCTGGCCCTTCGACCCTTGCAGAGTGTCTGGTCAGGACTGGGAGAGGTGGAACCTCGGAGACTCCCCCAGGGATCACCCAGCTGTGAAACGAGCCCTGCAGCACCGTCGGTTTTGCTCAGAGGACACGTAACAGCGCGGTGTGAGCGTTCCTGCTGGCTCTGCCTCTCCTGGTGCCCTCAGTCGAGGGAGTCTGTGGCTGAGCTCAGGCAATGACACTGCTCACGGGTGACTTTGCTTTGTCCTTTTAGGATCGTGAGCACCCAGCTGCCGCCTCCTCTCACTGCCAAGGTTCTCCTCCAAGGCAACGAGTCTCCCGGCCAGGTATGTCGCTGTTCCCTCTGTGCAGGTACCGGCTTGTAAGGCTGCGGCCTGGGAACTCTTGGCACAGAAATCTTGTGTCTGCCCTTACTGGGAAGGGCAAATATTGATGCTAAAAGCTTTTATTAGTTATGGTTGAGTAAGGTTTCAAGACTCCTGCACTAGGAATTTGCCTTTTTTTTTGGTCTTTAAGCTACTAAATTCATGAATTCCCATCTGTGTGATGTTTTGATCGGCTTTTTACCAAGGTTTGGGTATTTAGTGTTAAATATACAAAATAAATGTCTGAAGCGACAAATGGATCAATTTCTGTTGCCATCAAAATCCGTGGAAAGTCATTATTTATGTGGTTCCAGATCTACAAAAAAGCCGTCAAGATCCAGGTATGAAGGCGGCCTCTGCTCTTACTCTGGTGGAGTGACTGAGTTTTTGTGCCCTGAGCAAGCAGTAATGTCAAGTTTTGTGATATTTGTCCTTGCTTTCAGGTGTATTTTGGTTCTTGGGAAGTCCCCTTGACTTTGAGGGCTACCTAAGGAGCAGATCACTGCCCGGTATGGTAAACCAGCTGCAGCGTTTGCTGGAGGGGATGGTCTGGGGTCTGCTGTAATCACAGGGAGGCTGAGGAGGCTGGAAGAGAGGTCCTGGTGGTGCTGATGGCAGGTGTTGAGTCACGCCACAGAGCTGATTCTCGGCTTTTCTTTCAGAGGCAGCCTGGAGGTGAGGAGCAGCAGGAGCCTGGTGAGCATCCAGCTGCAGAGTGCTGGTTGCCAAGGGCCCAGCAGCAGCGTATGGGCAACCTGGGGCTGTGTCCTCCGCAGCGAGAGCGTGAGCTGCTTCTCTGGGGTCTTGCTGGGTGCGGGAGCGTATCCCTGAGGGTGTTGCTGCTGCTAGTCAGCGTGTGCCAGTGGGCGTTGTGTCATCAGGAGTAGTTCCTTCCGTTGGCTAAGCAAAGGAGTTTGCTCTTTTGGGTTTAATTGTCAGTTCTGAAGCTTCCCAACACGCCTGCTGTAGCTCCCGTTACCCATGTGCCTGCTTGGCCACTGACGGAGCCCTGAAAACAGATGGCCGATGCTTTCAGTCCAAACCTTCAGTCATCAGTTTGGAGCGTCAGTTTATAGATATTCTGCCAGGATGGTTAGGAAAAAAAAAAACAACTAAGGGAAAATTTGACTGTGTCGGGCATTAAGTGTGTGAGGAGGATGGGAAAAAGCTGCCTAGTCAGGACGTGGTCAGTTTGTGGTGACAGCATGCCTTCTCCTCCCGCGGAAGCCTTTGGGCTGGTGGGGTCTGGCTTCTGTTCTGTGTGCTGGGGCACATTAATCCTCAAACCCCCATTGCTCTTGCAGATTCGCCATTGCCGCAGGGTGTCCGTATCATCCCCGTGTTCCTAACAGAAGATGAAGTCTCAGCGCTCCGAGACTTCCCTGTGGAGTGGATGACGAGGTAGGAAGTCAACCTGAGGCACAGAGAGGCTTTTGCAGGCAGGGAGCTAGCGTGGCGCTGCGCCCTCGCTCGCCATCGTTACTGCTTCCCCTGGTCCTAACTCAGGCTCTGCCGTCTGGCTGATAAAGCTGCCTGAGGCCTTTGAGGCCGGAGGGAATTCGTGGTGTCCGTCCCTCTGTGGTGAGGCAGCCCAAGGCAGAACTGTTTCCCGAGGCCAGCCGCGGTGTCCCGTTGTTTCTCAGCTCGCAGGGCTGCCTTTGTGCTGTGTGGGTGGGGGAGTGACATTCCCAGGAGTCTGCAGCATAAGAGGTGCTTGCTTTTCACCTGTGTTAGACCTTCACCCGTCCTTTTCCGAGGTGGATGCTCTTTGTAGCAGAGAATAGATCAGCTATTGAACACTACTAGGAGGTGACAGTGTTACTAGGTGTGTAATAACTCCAAACAGATCCTACTCCATAGCTGAATCAACCTGTCATCTCCCGCTAGGTCCTCCGTGTCCCTGGCAAGCCCTAGAGGAGAGAAGAATGCTCTCTGCTCCCAGGCAGTTTCAGAATTCACAGGAGACATGACTAATACCTCTGTGCAGGAGTCCCCCGAGCGAGCTTCAAGCACAGCTGCGCATTCAGGCAGCCTTGCAAGCCCAGATCCTTCACAGGTCTTCCCCGAAAGGGAGGCCAGTACCAAGAATTCTCCAACTGCAAAACTGAGCAGCGCAGACAGCGAGAGCTCAGAGCTCAGCAGAAAAGCATCCTTCCCATCAGAGGGAGACACGAGGCCGCTGCCAAACCCCTCCACTCTCCATGCTGATGAACATGCTCGAACTACAGGTCCTTATCTGGAAGGCTTTTCCTTTCCAAACCCTTACGCCCGGGAGCAGGAGAATCGGAGCGTGGGGACATCCCTTGTGGACTCTGCTGTTGAGACACGCCGTTTCCAAAGCTACACAGCCAGTAGCAGCCCAGCTGTTGGCTCTCCTGCCCAGGAGTTGAGCAGAAGGAAGGGGAGCGAACAAGGCGAGCAAGGGACTCTGAGCCACAACAGCATCTCTGGAGAAAGCAGCGGGGCAGCTGGTGGCGGTGCGTGGGGTTTGCCTCGTCCAGCCGCTGCTGTACACGCAGAGCTCCCAAGCAGGAGCCGGCTGCCAGCTGTGGAGGCTCGGGAGAGTCTGCCCAGTGACCCAGCAGAGGACATGCACTGTCCCAGGGACGGGCAGAGTGGCTGGCCACCTCGGGTGGATGCTCTGGGAGCCCAGGCTGGCGTGGAGTCAGGCAGAGCAGTTCAGATGAGCTTGTACGTTCACTGCATCAAGGGCCTGGTGCTCTCCCTGCTGGCTGAAGAGCACCTCCGAGAGGACCAGAGCTCCGTAGAAGACGTGGTAAGTGGGAGAGCTCTTCCCTGCCTGCAGATATGCTCGCTGCTGCCGGCCTGGTGGCGGGGACAGGGGTTACCACTGCAGAGCGAGCTTTGGGTCGCTGTCCCTGCCTCTTCCCTCCCCTGCTCGTGTTGTGCAAGGCGAAGCCGCTTGGCTTGGGGTTCGTCGCCACAGCCGAAGCTGCGTGGGAGATTGTTTG